TATAATTACATTTATGATTAAAACTGTAATTTTGTAAATATAAGAAGCAGCCAGACAGAGTGAAGTTTCTTAAATTAGCTGAAGTAACTTCATTGCTTTTTACCATCCAGGCTTGTTGCACATCTGTTTTTGGCTCAGACATAAGTTCTTAGAGTTTGCAAATGCAAGTGTACACACGTTTTTTTTTCCCCCACTTCTGATGATTTTTAAATCACTTTTTATTTTGTGGAATCCATCAGAGGAAATCCAGCCCTTCATTACCCAGCTGTATTTTCTAACCTGAAAGCCAGCTACTTGTAAAAGTGAAAACCCTCCATCTTGTGGTTTGTTTCAGAATTTTTTTTTTCTTTTTTTTTTTTTTTTATGTTTACTTTCCTGCAGGTTTGGAAATCGCCTTTTTGGACCCATATGGAACAGGAACAGTGTGGCCTCTGTGGTGCTCACCTTCAAGGAGCCCTTTGGCACTCAGGGCCGTGGAGGATACTTTGATGGTTTTGGGATAATTAGGTGAAGTAAGCATTACGAATTAGATTTTAGTTTCACAGGAACTCTGCTCTGATTGCAGGTGTTTGTGTGTGTGTGTGTGTGTGTGTGTGTGTGTGTGTGTGTGTGTGTGTGTGTGTGTGTGTGTGTGTGTGTGTGTGTGTGTGTGTGTGTGTGTGTAGAGATGTCATGCAGAACCACCTGCTTCAGATGCTCTGTTTGATTGCAATGGAGAAACCTGCATCCACGAGCCCCGACGACGTGAGGAACGAGAAGGTAGGCGCGTCGTCGTGAGTGACGAGATTATGGAGTCATCGCAAAGCTGATGTCCGTTATTGTTTTTGGTTTTCTGCAGGTGAAGGTGCTGAAGTGCATAGCTCCTCCTAACATGGCAGATGTGGTGCTGGGTCAGTACGCGGGAGATCCGGGCGGGGAGGGCGAAGCCAAGCTGGGCTACCTCGATGATCCCACGGTACCAAAAGGCTCCTGCACACCAACGTTTGCAACTGCAGTGCTCTACGTCCAGAATGAAAGATGGGATGGTGAGGCTCCAATCCAGACTTCTTTCCTCATTATTGCTTCTCTTTCTCTGTTTAAATTTTCCCTGGAGTTACCGTGTTTTTATCCGCAACTGGGTCGTCCATCAGGGGTTCCTTTCATTCTGCGCTGTGGTAAAGCCTTGAACGAGCGGAAAGCCGAGGTGCGTTTGCAGTTCACGGACGTACCCGGAGACATCTTTGCTGACCGCTGTCAGAGAAACGAGTTGGTGGTCCGGGTGCAGCCGGACGAGGCTATTTACCTGAAGATGATGACCAAGAGGCCTGGAGTTTTCTTCAGCCCAGAGGAGACCGAGCTGGACCTCACCTACAAGAGCAGATACAAGGTGCTCAGCACCTTTGTTTTAATCTATAATTCTGCTCCAATTATTGGTTCTTAATGCACAAAAAAGGATTTAGGATTTTTTTTTTTTTTTTTTAAGAAATAAACTGAAAAACTGAAGAAAGAAAAAAACACTTTACTGGAATAAAGTAGCTGCAAGTAGGCAATACATCACAAAGAATACAAATCAACTTCAAGACCAAAAAGTTTGGAAATATAATATTTCCAAACTTATAATATTTTATAATATTTGAAATGTACCTCCTCCTAGGTCACTACAATGAAAGAAAAATTAAGCTTTTTTTATTACTTTGCCTGAGATAACTTTTATAGAACATGCCGATGAATACATAACATTTTTAATACTAAAAAAAACATGAAAATTGAAAAAAAATATGTCAACAAATAAGCCATTGCAGAATCCTAGGATGCAACCTATTTATTTTATTTTTATTTGTACGATTGTTTTTGTTCTGTTTGCTGTGACATTTCTTTTTTTTTTTTTTTTTTTTTAATTTTTCTTTTTGTTTTTTTTTTTTTTTTTTTTTTTTGTAACTTTGCACTGACATGTATTTTTCAGAATGTGAAGCTTCCTGATGCGTATGAGAGACTGATTCTGGACGTCTTCTGTGGAAATCAGATGCACTTTGTCCGCAGGTCTGCAGACATCAGATTTTGGAAGACTCGTTCATTTGTCAGCGTAGTGGACATTTCTCAAACGGCTTTTCATCTACCAACCATCCTCTCTTTTTCTTTCAGCGATGAGTTGCGAGAAGCCTGGAGGATCTTCACCCCCCTGCTCCACCAAATAGAAGCTGCAAAGAGACAACCTATTCCTTACACATATGGAAGGTAATCTCTCTGGTTAAAAACTGATAAAACAAACAGAAGTTAATTTAAAAGACACGATTATTTCTGAACATCTTCTTTCTTCCTCCTCTTTCTTCGTCTCTGTGCCCGTAGTCGTGGTCCAAGTGAATCAGACGATCTTATTCAGAGGGTGGGCTTCCGCTACGAGGGAACATACAAGTGGGTGCAGCCCCACACAAGCTGATTCTCCAAGTTGTACGATGCGCATGCACAGATTCACTAAAAGCCTTTGTGTGTTTACAAATAATAAAATTTACAGCAGTCACTTCTGTGCCAGTTTGATTGTGTCTGCATGCGTATTAAAAAAGCACTGCGTTTTTCTCCCTAATCACTCACGAGTTAATATAGAAATAACCAAGTGTTCGTGTGATTCCACATCTATGTGCGTACAAGTTTTCTAAATAAATCACATTTCACCTTGTTGCCCAAAAACTGTTTAAAATTACAATATTTTACTCCAAATTCAAAAGCCAACAAAAACCAGAAAGGACAAAATGGCTTGGTGCTGAACTATGTGCAGCAGATATTCACCATGTAGATGAAGGTAATGATAAGGGCATTTCCTGCTATTAATAGACCGGTATTTACAGTGATCACCAAAATAAAGACATGCAGTGTCATGATTCACATAAAGCCATGGCAACAGGTCAACATAAGAGGAATACTTGTTGGACTGGTTAGTCTGGGAGAGGATGCATCTCCTGATAACTGTTCACTGAGACAGACATTTGTCAAACCACAGGTAAGAAAAATGTTCTTTCTAAGCTTAATCAAATGGTAAAATCATGTTAATCTCTAACACTGCATGTCTTCACCCATTTCTTGCACAAGTGTTGAAACCTTCTGGATTTTTTCCCAGTTTTCTCATTTTGTAACCAGGGACAAACACAAAATAGTGCATTGAAAACTGAGAAGTGTAAAGAAAAATCTCCTGTATTCAGCCCCCTGGAGGCAATACATGGAATAATCTCTCTCAATTACTACTTTTTCTTCAGGCTTTGTATTGCAATGCCTATGTTTCTCCACACTTAGCATGACCAGAGCATTCCCTTCCATGTTTACTGTGTCCCAGGCATGACCTGCTGCAAAACTGCAAAGAAAATATCTTCTTGCTTCCTTTGAAGCTATTCTTTCATGAATCTTTCACACATTTGTTAAGAAAAGTGACTGACCACCCAAACTCTGAGCCTCTTCTCTTTTTTAATGGTCTCCATTTCCTTTATTTGCTAACAGCAATTTAAAAATTGTCATTTCCCTCTACTTTACAGCTATAGACATTGGTCACAAAATCAAGATAAAAAAAATACATTAACGTTCTTGTTTGCGACATGAAAAATGTGGGAAAGTAAAACGCGTATTAATACTTTTACAAGACGTTTTGATCTACTGCCTGCAGAAACCTGATCTTGTATTGTGTTTTTCTTCCCTTCTCTATCAGGTGTGTGACCTAACCCATGAAACGTATGAGATCGGAACGTGCAGTGGTCTTTCCCAGGATTCAGAAAGCTCTGGGAAGAACAGTATTGATGAACATGTGTTTAAATATCTGAGTCTCTTGTGCTTGTTTTCCTGTAAGAGTAACGCTGCAACCCGATGGCTGGGATGTTGTGAAGAGTCGAGCTGCTGTAGTTCAAGTCGGACGCAAATTCTTCTTCTTTATCATAGGAAAGTGTTGCTGCTTTTATCGACACTAATAAAAAAAAATAAAATAATGCCTTTTTTTATTTCATATATTTGTAGCTTAACCTCCATCAACATTCGTCTTAATTCTCTGAAACGGACAAAAACAGATCAAAAGCAGCAAACATCGTGTGTACAGTAACAGGTTAAGGTCATTTTCAAAGCAAAAAACTTTTTCCACCATTTGTACATGGAGGGAAGACGACAAATGAACATAAACGTACAGAGCTTTAGGAATAAATATTTATTTTCCAAATATTACAGTGACAAGTATGAATTAAAGTGCCTGAAGCTTGAGAAACTCTTTGGCAATGTAAGTCTGCAGGACTTGCTGCAGTGTTATCAATTTTAAAAACCTTTAAACAACAAACTGATATATATTTTTTTAATTGCTTGTCAGATTTCATCTGCATGTTCTGTTGCACTCCTCCCTCTCCTCGGTGCAGTCTTCTAAGAAAGTCCCGTCCTCGATGCCCCTGGCGTACAGACGCACCAACTGGCCATGAATCCTGAGACCGGCGGCAAAACAAAAAAGCCAAAGGTAGTTAGTACTTATAACAAGAAACAGCTTCGCAGGCCTTTTCTTTCTGACGTGTGTTGGAGAGAGCAAACCATAAACCTGACAGGCGGGACAAAAAAACACACCATGATGACTTGCTTACCTGCAGCAGATCTCGGGGGAAGGCAGAATTTCTCCATCGCAGTTCCAGACTGACACAGCGGGAGCTTTCCTGCAGCAGAGGCCGCACGTGAAGGGGCTCGTAGTTTTGTCCTCGCACGTCATCGTTTGTCCATTAGCTCCCGCTGCCAGGTGCTGCTGGGATCCGGCTATGCTTCCATTCTCGACATACGCTCCATCTCCTCCATCCACCGCACCACGCAGACCTTCACTGTCCTCGGCTTCCTCTCCTCCTCCCGCCAGAGCGAAGCGCACCGCCTTCACACGATGGACCTCCACGAACGGCAGGTCAAACTAGGAGGACAAGTGGAAACAATGGGTTGGCACACTTTTTTTAAATGTCTGCCGAGACTCGTTTCCGCACAAGGAAAACGTGATACCTGGTCCTGATCGGTTGTGTGCCTATAGAGGAAAGCAAGGAATCCCAAGGGGTTTGTGTCCCACACCAGGATGAGATCTCCTGTTCCATCAGCCAGGTGGGCAGAGGGAGAGAGACCCAGAGGACTTTTGTCACACGAGCTGGACATGCATGTGAGAGACACAGACTTGAACCTGCCGTCCACACTGACCCACTCATCTAAAGAGACAAAAAGACAAGATTCTATACTTTCAAGCGACATCCTTACATGGTTAAATCTGTACAGCATAAATGACACAAAACAATTTAAAAGTACCAATGGACTGTTTCAAAGTGTAGGTGTATTTATTTAAAAAATCGTGGGTGGTTCAAGACCTTATAAGAAATTATGATATGCAGCAAAAAACAAAACAGAAAAAAATATTTAGAGGAATCTTATTGGATAATGTCATCATTTCATGTATTTGAAAAGATAGCCAAAGTATAATGAGGCAAAAAGTACATTTATGTAACATTAGTCATTAGTCAAAAGAGTTTTAAATGTTAAATTTTTTAAAATTGTCATTCAGTATTTCATTATTACCATAATTTTCATTATACAATAACACTAGTTTGTAAAAGAGATCCTAACATCTGATCGGTTAACTTGCACAGCAGCTGGACTGCAGACCAGTCGCCTTGTCCAAAGCAGAATTAACTCGTCACAGTGACTCTGATGTGCAAGTTTGACAAATACAACATGATCTGGAGTAAATCCACGACATGCTGCAACATGAGGATATGAAATAATACACTGAGAGTGCACACTATAAAGTCAGATTTTTCCAGCATTTTAATATTTTTTTAGATATAAATTCCCTTATTTTACTAACTCCATTCACTATGTGAAATGCATTGATTGATTGATTGATTGATTACAGACAGATTGTTTTTAATTCTTCATTTCTGTTAATTATCATAATTTTCTGTCCACAGGTATTGAAACCACAACACTTAAGATTAAAATCAAGAAATGTGGGCTTGATGAAACTAGCTGCTTTAGAGGTTGTTTTGAAAAATGAGCCTCACTAAAACACATTTTAATTTGTTAAATATGGCCGCACAAGTAAATGTATTTATACAATATAAATAATGACAGGAGTCAGTAAGTTTCCAGTAAACTTGACTGTCACTACATGGCGTAAAACAATGTTTGTTTGGTTTTTTTTTGTTTTTTTGTTTTACCTTCTGAGCCATTACTGAAGGGACCAGAGTTGGAGCTGTACAGGGAGCCAGAATCTGAAGAGTTTGTGAAAAGTCGCTCGGTGCTTTTGGCGCAAACACCACACCTAGAAAACACAGAACCACACTGAGAGTTTTAAAGAGCTCCTAAAGTCTGATACCTGCTCATAAAAGCCGTCCTAAAAAATTCGCTGGCAGCCAGAGGCCGCTTGCTTAGACAAAGGCTGAAGTGGATACTCCGAGCCCAACACGAGGCTGAGTCTCGCATTTCATCTAGATCAAGTTCCTACTGTCATAGTTCCCACCCTCCTTAAGATGCACCCAACACCTGAGTCCCAGGTACAGGTGGTAGCAGTTACAATGTCCCAAGCTGAGACTCTGGGCGATTTTTTATTTATTTATTTTTTCGTCCACAGACCACATGCATGCCTTCTAATCTTCTAATTAAAGGAGTTTAGTGTTACAACAAATCATCACCATCCACATTCTCAGATAACTTAGATTAGGACGCACACAAAGGCCTAAGGGAAGGTACGGCGGTGCTCAAAAGTAAGTACACCCTCGTTCAAATGCCAGGGTTTTGTAGAATAAAAAAATGTGATCATATTTTCCAGATAGAATGTAGAGTAATCCTTTACAATTTAACTTAAAAACAAACATTTGTTAGAAATAAAAAATAAAAATAAATCACATTTAAAAAAAAAGCTGCAATAACTTGGTAAAATAGGTGTGTTCACCTTTAATCTGATTTTTATCTTTTCGCATTCAGTTTTTATCTTCAGTATCCTGCTTCCAATATCATATGACTGTGAGGACAAGTGTTCTTCACAGCCTAAAGCAGATGTTCTGTTGACTACAGTTCATGAGGGAGGGTTCAAAAACTTACATTTTCCTCTCATGCCATCATTATTTGGTCGATTTGCATGCATGCTTCAAAACAAATAAGTAAAATCAGACTTCATCGTGAGTCTAAAGCTCTGGGTCAACACAGACTGTTACTAATAACCACTCATAACTTCATCCGCCTTCACCAGCACAACCATAGACAATGATGCTGCCGTCACCATGTTTCACTTTGGGTGGGATGTTTGTTTTGTGATGCGTCGTTTATGCTAAGCTTATCCTCTGGCTCAGATGCCTCAGGTTTCACATTCTCCAACAACATTCTGGAAAAATGTAGTCACGTCTGTTTCCTTTGGAAACTACTCAGACCAGACATATGAAAACTGTCACATGTACAATAAAACCAAAACTTGTTTATATTTCCTTTAGCTCTTTCAGTGTTGCTTTTGGTGGCCATCCTGACCAGTTTCAGTCTATTTTTTCCATCAGTTTTAGAGAAATGACCACTTTGCTTCCTGCCTTCATCATGCATTTTGCTTCCTTTCCCCGAATAACAAATTTGCAGCCTCTTTGCAAACTGCAGATTAAGCAAAAGGATGCAAATGACCATTTTTAAAAGAGAAAACTGAACCTAGAATAACTGCAACTTTACTTACAGTTAATCCCATTTTCTATAAGAGGCATTACCTCAAAAGGACTGAGTAGTGAAAGTGAGTCAAAAGGTGCAAATAGCTTCAGGCTGTATGGATACATATGCAATCAGCTTATTGCATCTTTTTCTTAGATTGTTTCCTCTAATAAATGCATTTGTTTCCCACTTGAATTAAAGAGGATGGTTGTCACAGAAGTTTTGAAATGATTGAATAAAATTTCAAACATTTCACATCCAACAGCCTGAAATTTGAACAGCTTCATGAATGCATCATGATTGATCGAGGCATCATTATCTCTGCACTTTCAAATGCCTCCTTTTGGGATAATTGTCTGATAAAAACTAAAGGAATCATAATGTACTTGTACATAATGATTTGCATGTTTTAACAGTGTTTAGTTGAGAACTTATTTCTTTAAACAATAAAAAGTAACATAAATACTGCCCTGAATTACTTCAATGTTTTCAAGTGTCAAACCACTGTAACTTTCTTTATTAAAACGTTGCATGTAATTATTCATATAATTGTCCAACAGAGGTTGGTGTTTTACCCGGACAAACAGCGAGTCTTATCTCTTGGGCTGGACATCAGTGGGTCAGCTGGCAGATACTGCACTGTCCCCCTGTAGCTTCTGTTGCTCAAAAACACCACTGCACCTAAATGAACGAGAAGAATTGCATAGCGCAAGAAAAATATGAAAGAGAGAACATAGCGGATGTATTGCATAAAATGCTTTATAAGGGAAGTAGTGGTCAGGTTGCAGCAATCAGCCTCCATGAGGAGATGAAAAACAGAGCTCTTGTAATTTGGCTATGCAATATATATATATACTGCTCAAAATTTAAAGGGAACATTTCACTTTAATTTTGTGTGTGGCTCCAAATCCAGGCCTCCATTGGTTAATAAATTTGATTTCCATTGATGATTTTTGTGTGATTTTGTTGTCAGCACATTCAACTTTGTACAGAACAAAGTATTCAGTGAGAATATTTCATTCATTCAGATCTAGGATGTGTTATTTGAGTGTTCCCTTTATTTTTTTGAGCAGTGTATATATTTTTGTTCTCTTCACTAAGAATCTCTGTTAGACCTGAGTAGTCGTATCTGAAGGGCCCCATCCAGCGGTGTTTTTCGCTCTCGGCTAGCACATCGCCGTAAAACCCGTAGCCCACCAGAGACACGGAGTATCGCACCTGACCGGGACCGTGGTGAACTGAACACACATCCAGAGGCTGAGAATCTCCTGAAAGATGGCAGAATTATTTAAGCTGGGCTAAAATTTGACAGGACGCGGGTTTCTTTTAACGCAAACCTTTCCTCACCAATGACAACATGCAGAGCGGAGGTAACGGGGTCGATCACCCCCACTGTGGCGTA